CCCAGGAGCTCTCTGAAAGCATCCTACAAGCTATGCAGGGCCATTTTGGTAAAGGGGTGGGGTTTCAGGAGGAAAAAAATGCTGTATTCAGTGTATAAGACAAACCCAGATTTTCAGCTTCTTTTTTAAGGGAAAAAGGTGCGTCTTATACTCCGAAAAATACGGTATGTGTGGGCCCACCCATCTGCCCTAGTTCTCTTTTGTCCTGTTTTGAGCAAAGTGCATGCGCGGAAGGTTGGGTACATGCATGAATAAGGTTAGGGCGAGCGAAGCAAGTGCATGCACGAATGCACGCACGCACACATTTGGAACTGGAAAGGTAAATGAAAACCCCCCCTGGCAACCAGAAGCAAATAGGGGAAGACACATACATGCAGGTAATCCTTGATTTATGACGGATCACTTAGCCAGCATTCGAAGTTATGCCCAACCCCCAAAATGGAAAATATAGTCCGAATATGAAGTTATGATATCTTCCCACCCATCCCTACAGTCGACATTTTGGATGTGTGGCAAGTGGCCCATTTATTTCCGGTAAAGGAAAGTAACAGAGTCCTCCTAACCCATTCTGAACTCCACCCCTGGGTACACAGCGAAGGGATTCCTTTGTTACCACCAGTTCGCCGCGCGCCCCTTCCACACATGCGCCCAGCGTTCCGCGCATGCGCTTTGCTCATATGCATGCTTTCCACGCATGCACCCAGCCTTAAAAACATGCCTAAATAGCACAGCATAGAGTCGGGGTGGGTGGGCAGGCCCACTAACGATTTCTACTACCTATTCAGGTGAACCGGTCCAGCGGCTGAATACCACCGCTGGGAGTGGGGTTCCCTCAAGTCCCTGTACGGCAATTCTCGAGTCCTCCCAAGCATCTGTTGGAACCATGTCACGAAGTTGCAACTCTCCGTGGGAGGCTAGTCAATTACGGCAAATTGAGTTATTTCATTTCTGCCTGGAAAGGGCTTCCCCTTACACCACCCGTTAATCTAATGATCATATATTTTACTAATCATACTGCAATCTGTGTGATCTTAGATCTAATTAGGTTTAAGATTAAGACATCCTTTTGCAGGCAATCGTTGCCGCCACGGTTTTGTGGAATGAAAAGGGACCGTTGAAATATTGAAGAGAAAAATGTAGAGGAGAGGTGCGAGGTGATTAAGCATGGCACTGTTTTTTTTTCCCTTCGGTCAATTGTGATACTAAGATGATACTAAGTCTATTTGTAACAACAGACAGAGTTTGAAGCATCTGCGTGCTGGGATTATGCAAGGCAAGGGTATCCACCGTATGTCAGCCCTAAAGCTGGCCTGACTGGGGCCATTTTGAGACTTTAGTACTGACACACTGGAGCTGAGGGATAGGGAGAGAGGAATAGAGATAGTTGTGGTTTGTAGTCAAAACAAAATGCTTTCTCTTGGGAACCAAGGTCATTCCTGCAGGTGCTCAGAAGGAGAGGACGGGAGTTCCATAGCAACTGGACAGTATCCTGATGGGACCATGTGGCTGATTGTTTTGAGAAAGTGAAAAACTTTTATTTTTAATTAGGTGAAAACCGCGGGAATACTCAGAGTCGGTTTTCACCAGCCTGTGCCAATATGATATATCCAATAAACTTATTCTTTGAGGAATCTACCTGCCTCAGAGTTTTGTTTGCTACTGATATGTTACTTGGAACCCTGACACTGTATCTGGTCAAAAAAGAGTCAAGACAATGTTCATGATGGTGGGATTGAGGCTCCACTGTTTTTTTTTTTTTTTTTTNATAATAATAATAATAATAATAATAATAATAATAATAATAATAATAATAATAATAATAATAATAATGCAATGCCGCACTGCTTGGATCTGCACGCATATTACGAAAATACGTTACGACGTCCTAGGCCCCTGGGTGGGGCCCGACTAGTAACCAATGCCAAATCCGGTGAAACAACTGGCCGCTGTGATACAATTGTATAATAATAATATTTAGAAACTGAAATTTGAAAAGAATTTTGCTCCACTGATTTTATTGTAAAATCTCAGCAGTGAGCTTGCCGACTCTTCCATTGTTCAACATTTGTCAAACTAGAGCCAGAGTAATAGGATATCTAGGTCCTGGACTCTGGTTTTTGCCAGGATCAAAGAGTTTAATACATGGACATCTCATTTTGGCAGATTTAAGACTTCAACTATGCTAGCTGGGGAATTCTGGGAGTTGAATTCCACAAGTCTTAATGTTGTAAAGGTTGCCCCGCCTTGTTTTAATGCATTGTTATATATCATCTGTACTAAAATTGTTTTAGATGCTCATTTCTTATTAATTATCCTTTTTAAACAGATGTTCCAAACTGAAAAATGATACATCTGTCCACTTTTATAGACAGTGAAGGAAAACTGAAACTAGCAGCTTGCTGTTTACAGAGATTTGAGAGGGCTGTATATGCTGATTGTATGTCTCTGTGAAAGTCAAAAATCTGAATTGCTGATTACTTGCAAGAGGATCGTGTTTGATACATGGTTGGTAGAATATAAACGTTGGTTTATTAAGTTACTTGAACAAATGGGCTAGAGTTTGCCTAACACTCAAATTAAGCATATAGGAGAAAAAAGCCTGTTCTTTTCTATTAAGTTCAATGTCGTTTTCTATGTATACATTCAAGAAATAGATACCTTGCCCCTCAGCATTTGAAATGCTGCCCCAGTGTCAGTTAAAAGCTTTATTCCCTCCTTCTTCAACTTGTTTTTTTTTTAGAAATGACTCCCACACACATTTTATTTTATTTCGCATTTATTTTGTTGGATTTATAGTCTGCCTTTTGCATAGCAGCTCACAGTATTGATAGATTTAATTATCATGTAATCGTTCACATACTAAGAGGGTGCACAAAATGAAGGAACATATTTTCTAAGATTTTTTTTAAACTTTTGGTAAAAGGGTACCTGAAACAGCTACATAATTGAACATAATTAAAAAGAAACAGCTATGATTTTGCTTCAGCCCAGCCCATGAATAATGATACGCTTAAAAAAAGAATTTCTGTAGCCAAGATTTGACAATCACGTTAGCCAATAATACAGCAGGCATGAGGTCCAGCCTTGTTGTTTAGAACCATTTTGAATTTAAGGGAAAATGATTCAGAGCTAGATCTAAGTCTTTCATTCTTACCTATTTTAAATGTATTACTCTGAAAAAAAAAAGCAATAAGGAGAGGTGCACTGAACTGATGCCAACTTTAGTGTGATATAACACCTACACACAAATAGTCAAATACAACTTTATAAGTTGATTCAAACTTTATGTTCCCAACATAAAAAGAAGAAGAAATACCCTCTCAGTTCTTTAAAATAGACCTCAGGAAAATATTGCCTATATATTAATATATTAGCACTGCCCACTATTCCTAATAAATAATATTTATGATTATCCTCCGCAAATTTTTAATCACTCACAATATTGACTTGTTTTCCCCATTTTTGCAATTGGCTGTCATTTTTAACTTTTAGTCCTGTATTATATTTTAGGGTCAAATATGATGGGATAGACTATTTCCCAGGATGTACATTCTTCTGTTCTAAAACGTGTCTGGACAATATCACTAAATGGCTTAGTCTTTGCATTAATAATTGGATAGAATCAGCAAGTTTCCCATGCTTTTTTTTTTTTTGCTTAAGTCTGAGTGATACAAAAGTTGTGCCATGCTTGGATTTTTAAGCCTTTCTCCATAGTCATATTAAAAGTTTATTTGTTGGCAAAGACCAAAATAATCTGTAATATCATAGTTATGTTTTTGTGAATGGGTGCAGTGTTAATTCCTTCCCACCATGCCACCATTCTTTATGCAAGTGAACTTTATTAAGAATCTTTGGAATTCATAAAACATTTTATTTTATACACAAACATACAGTAGGTATCACCGCCCCTCGTAGAAATTAGCAGCATTATCAAAATCTAAAACCCATAAAATCTCCGAAAGACAAAGATTTCTGCTTAAACAACTGAGGCACAATCAACTGGGCAGTTTACTATACACACTTAAGTAATTCCCATTTATCTCTTAAGGATGTGACAGATGGAAAACCTCCAACCAGATTGTGCTTTTGAATGTTTACATATAGCACTGACTTCCCCACTTCATCAACAATTTATCTGCAGGTTGCAATGCGGTTTGTTTGGGGTTGGTTTTTTTTTGGTATATTGGGTTTTTCTGACAGCGCTATATGAAACACATAAAAAGTGTAAATTATAAGCAGCAATGAGGTGATCTCCCATCTGAGCTAGAAAACATGCACATTATTTTAGCACATAAGCCCAACATCCCCTTCATCAGAAATCTGTGAAAAGAAGCTCCACTGTTGGCATCACAGTTAAAAGAATGATTATATCCATTTAAAATATACATTCTTGACCAATCATTGGATTTGGATTACAATTCTTAAACAAATTAACATCTTTCATACCTTCAAGAATATCCATGTGTAAATCATGCATGAATATCCAGTGTAAATCTAAGCATAACCTGACAATATCAAATGCCCTCAAGTCTTAAAAAGAATTAGTGAGTTTTCATCGTGGCCCTTTTCACTTGCATTTCATATAAATATCATTAATTTGGACATTGAGTAGAAACCCTTTAAAATCAGTTTAATCAGCTTTCAGGCACTATTCATGGAATATGCATAGCTATTGCTATATTCCAATAGCTTAATGCACTTTGTGATTCTCTAGATCCAAAGACAGAACATGAAAACATAGACATTCTTAACAAGACATGCCACTTCTTTTTTCACCACTACTTATTCATCTTGGCATAGTTAAGAGACATACTTTTTTTTAAAACAAGATGATCTTATTGCATTCTAATTACATCATAACAGTATACATATTTTACAGAAGCTGCAGAATTTTAAATAGAAAATTGCTATTTTATTTAATGGTGAGACATAAATGTCAGAATTTGATCATGGTAGATCATGTTTACAATTCGCTATAATATTATCATTATAAATAATAAGTAGCCTTAATTCCAAATTAAGGCTCACTTTCATTCATTTCACTGGAGTTACGCTTTACATCAGAGGTTGGTAACCATGGACCCTTTATGACATGTGAACTTCAATTCCCAGAATTGGCTCAGGAATTCTGGGACTTGAAGTCCACAAACCATAAAGAGACCATCGTTCCCCACCCCTGCTTTACACAGTACAAATTATTTCCACTATTTAACTAGCTGTCCAGAGATAGGAACTTCTAAAGATTCTTGCCAATCTATCAAGGATTTTCTAAAATCAAAAAATGAATAAGGACAAGTTTAAAATTTACTTGCCATGGTTATAACTAACTTACATATATTTAACCAGAGAGATTAGACATGACGACTGGCACTTCATCATTAGAAATCCATATGCAATTAATTTCCCAATGGAGAATTTGGTGTCATTATTCAAAAAAGCTGTAATTGAATTATGTTTTAATGTTTTCTGGCACGGCTAAAAAATTTGACAATCAAACCATGAACGAGATAAAAAGTCAATCAGTATTTCTATCTGTTCATTAGAAGGGAACAAACAAACGGCCACATTCTTTCTTGTATAAATGCTAATTTTAGTTTCCTGATTGTATTTCCTACTAAGAGATAATGATTATGGACAAAGGAAGGAATCAAAAGCCCATTCAAGAGAACCCGGTAGGGATGAGATGTAGGATTAAGGCTTTCACAAATAGCTTCAATGACAAGACATAATGGACCACTACAATGGTCGTAGCTGCATAGCAACATTCTTAATAATATGTGCTAATTTTAGCTGGAGTTGGGTTGCCATCTGACAAGGATTGTAGATCATTTTATAGCAGCTCTAGCAATGCTCAGAAATAATTGCATCCAGCCCAAACTGCCTTTGCAGCAAAGCTCATGGCAAGACTGTTAATGTCACTTCCCCCTTTTGGTGCTTCAGAATAGTTACGGCTTGCTCATGAGTCACACCTTCCAGAGACTGTCCATTAACAGCTAAAATCTGATCACCACGCTTCAGTCTGCCATCATCTGCAGCTGCTCCCTGGAAAGAAAAAAACAGACCAGAATCATCAGCCAAGCAATGTTTTGGGACTAAAATTGTAGAAAACAAATTATAGTGAACAGGAGATGGCAGAGCGGCCTTAGGATGACTTTCTTCAACCATTGGGGATATATTGGGATTACAGTTCCAACAAAATGCCTACTCAGTGGGAATAATTTAGTGCTAGATCATGTGAGACTGAATCAGAAAGGCTAAACTGGAGGGCTCTTGGTTGGGAAAACTTTTCCTTGTTATAGACAAAACTTTTCTTTGTTATAGTCAAATTTACATTGTACAGGTAACTTACCAATTTTGACATGATTATCTCCCTCACAGAAAGTGATACATTGACATGCATGGATCTAATCACGAAGCTCACATATACATTGTGTACTGAAACTGGGAACAGATGGTGTAAACTGAATGCAGTATTCCAAGTGTGGCCTTACAAGGGCATTATAAATACCACTTTATAATGCCTTTGTAAGGCCACACTTGGAATACTGCATTCAGTTTTGGTCGCCACAATGTAGAAAAGATGTGGAGACTCTAGAAANTCTACTAAACTTGATTTTTGATAATAAAAGAAACTTTATTCTGCTACTCCGAACCTCGTCTCTGAATTTCTTTCAAGGAATTCTACAAACAAAGTGGACACAGAAGTGTAATTTTTATTGTGGCCACAGAATATAATTTTGGAATGAGGGACAGAATATATAATGTTTAAATCCAGCCCTATTCATTTCCACAAGCTATGTGTCAGTATGATAGAACTGATAATGTACAACAACAAAATAAATGATTTTACCTTGATCCCTAAATAAAACAGAAACCTTCTTTAGCTAGTGATGAGTATAGCTTGACTTATTGCAGGCTTTGCCCTGCTGGTTCTTCTACATTTGGATATTCTCATTTATTCTGCTGGCTCTGAATTTCTGTCCTAAAGACCAGCTCCAGTGGCACTCATTAATGCAAGATTTGGCACGCAGTTTGCTTAGACACAAAATGCCCTTATTCTCTTCTCTTGTCATTCATTGAGACACTTAGCCCACCCGGTATCATATGATTTTTTTAAAAAAAATCCGCTCCTATTGGTTGCACTAGTTTCAAATACATAAGTGCTTTATGTAAAAAAAACCCTCAGAAAATATAAAGTATAATATATAAGTTTGTGCTTTGCACTTTTTAATTATTTTCCCTTATTATTTTAAAAGCAATGTATCACTTTTTGTCAAGAAGTATATTCTTTGAAGCAACAGCAGGAGCAGCCCTTGTTTTCCCCAGGATTGCTTGGAAGTCCCAAAAAGAATTGAGGTACTTTAATCTGGAGGTTATCTAGCCAAGACTCAATCGTGTCTTAGAAGGGAGTTTTAACATATCTAGGGACTGCGAAATGTGACTGCTCTTATAAGGAAATTTTGAAGCAAAATAATGCTGAGATTCTTTGTAGTCGTAGTTCAGTAGAAAGTCTTCTATTGTTACATTTTCTCAATGGGCAGCAGATGTACAGGCTCCTTCCTATGTTCCTGATTCCATTTCCAGTTGCAATTTGTTTGTCAACACATTTCGATGCAAGCATGTTTGAACAGGTGGGTGGGACCCAGATTGTTGGGGGCAAGATGCTGACTCTGTAAACCACTTAGAGAGGGCTGTAAAGCATTGTGAAGCGGTATATAAGTTTAACTGCCATCAGCAGACATCTAGATTCTGAAATCTTGAAAGTTACCAAGAATTATGAAAATATCAATAAATTAATGAGCGCTGGGAGAGAAGACTGGTGCTAAGCAACCACCCTGTTCTTAACAAAGAAGAATGATCAATTCACATGCGTGGTAGTAATAACAGCTGTTGAAAAGTCAGCTCAGCAGTCAATTTTGTGATTGCTGCAATTTATACCAGCCTGCAGAGAAATTTAAGAGAGGTAGGAACTTTCTTCGCTATTGTGTTGTGTATTTTCCATCTCTTTTTGTCTTGACAAAAAAAAATGCTCTGTTTTAGGCCCAATACTCTTCAACGTCTTCATCAATGATTTAGATAAGGGAATAAATGGGGAACTCATCAAATGCACAGGTACAGTATAGGTGGTACCTTGCTCATCAGTAGTAACTGTGAAAGGGATCTTGGAGTCCTAGTGGACAACCATTTAAATATGAATCAGCAGTGTGCAGTAGCTGCCAAAAAAGCCAACACAGTTCTAGGCTACATTAACAGAAGGATAGAATCAAGATCACGTGAAGTGTTAATACCACTTTATAATGCCTTGGTAAGGCCACACTTGGAATACTGCATTCAGTTTTACGATGTAAAAAAGATGTGGAGACTCTAGAAAGAGTGCAGAGAAGAGCAACAAAGATGGTTAGGGGACTGGAGACTAAAACATATGAAGAACGGTTGCAGGAACTGGGTATGTCTAGTTTAATAGAAAGAAGGACTAGGGGAGACATGATAGCAGTGTTCCAATATCTCAGGGGTTGCCGCAAAGAAGAGGGAGTTAATCTATTCTCCAAGGCACTTGAGGGTAGAACAAGAAGCAATGGGTGGAAACTAATCAAGGAGAACAGCAACTTAGAACTGAGGAGAAATTTCCTGACAGTTAGAACAATTAATCAGTGGAACAGCTTGCCTCCAGAAGTTGTGAATGCCCCAACACTGGAAGTCTTTAAGAAGATGTTGGATAGCCATTTGTCTGAAACGGTATAGGGTTTCCTGCCTAGGCAGGGGGTTGGACTAGAAGACCGCCAAGGTCCCTTCCAACTCTGCTATTGTATTATAATGCTGTCATAAAATGTAATGTCACCATTGCCAATCTTTATGCTGCTTTTGTTGCAAAACCCTACAAAATGGTATTATCAAGACTTCCAATCACTCTAAGGCAGAGGTAGGCCATTAATTTTTCCAAGAGGCCACCTGAGAAACTGGGAGTGTTGTGGAGGGCTGCTGCCACTACCCACTGCCACCCCTGCCAACGCCTTACCACCACCATGGGCCAGACATGGCAGACAAAAGGCTGGGTGTGATATTGCTCAGGCCTACTCTAGGGTGAGTGGTTTTTTCTTATGGCTTTGCTGCTATCTTAAAACAATCTAAACACTACTCCAGCCCCTGAGTTAACATGGTTCTTCTGTAAGAACAGTTATATTCTCTTCTCACTGTGAAGAGTCTTCTTTTAATGGAATGCAGTATAACTCAATGTGTCGCTTTTATCTTAGACTTTTGCTTCTAGCTTCCTTCTCAACTGGATTGTCCATTCCAGTATTCTCAGGTTTCCCTCTCCAGCTGCTGCATACATTTTTACAATCCTAATTTTTGATGTGTAAGGAAGAAGATTTGTGCCATTCCTCAACATAATTTTAATTCTAAAGCAAAAGTGCAAAGCAAAAGATGGGCTTGAATAATCTGCAAATGCGTTTTCTAATTTAACTGAGAGGAAGAGAGGGAGGAAAACCAAGGGATGCCACAAGTTTTACTAAGAACGTTTCAATCAGATTCAATCAGTCAGAATACAGCTGGAAGGGGCATTGGAGATCTTCTAGTCCAACCCCCTACTCAAGCAGGAGACCCTGTACAATTTCAGATCAATAGTTGTCTAGTCTCTTTTTTTGAAACCCTCTGGGGATGGAACACCACAACTTCTGAAGCCAAGCTGTTCGACTGGTTAATTATCCTCATGTTAGGAAGTTACTCCTTAATTCCAGGTTGCTTCTCTCCTTGATTAGTTTCCATCTATTGTTTCTTGCTTTGCCTTCTGGTGCTTTGGAAAATAAATTGAATAGATGAAGAATTCCTTCATCTTTCCATCTTCCAACTCTGAATATTGATTTCACATGTCATCAGGTTCAGTCTTATAAAGATAGTGACATTTCAATGTTTATTCCCTAGGATATCAGTTACATAGGCAGAAACCCACAAAAAAATGAACGCGTGCATCAGGTAACTAAAGTTCTGAACTTTAGAAGGATTTTTTTAGTGATACACAAACAAAAGTAATTTGCAATGTAAGAGGAATAAAACCTAGTAGGTCTACATTAAGGTGTTCTTAATTCTGTGAAACCAAAGAGATGCAATAGATGTACAATACAGGTCGTCCTCAACTTATGACTACAATTGAGCCCAAAATTTATGTTGCTAAGTCAGAAATCCGTTAAATGAGTTTTGATTTTATGACATTTCTTGCCACATTTGTTAAGTTGTTAAGTTAGTAACACGGTTGTAAAGTGAATCTGGCTTCCCCATTGACTTTGCTTGTCAGAAGTTTGCAAAAGGGGATCACATGATCCCGGGACACAGCAGCCGTCATAAATGTGAGTCAGTTCACATCACAAAGGTCTGACTGTTGATCATGTGACCATGCTTATAATGGTCATAAGTGTGAAAAAGGGTCATAAGTCACTTTTTTCAATGCCGTTGTAAGGTCGAACAGTCACTAAATTTACTGTTGTAAGTCGAGGACTATCAGTATAAATTACAAGGAGAAATTGAGAGAAAGAAACTTCATAGGGAGGAAAATGAAACAGGATAAGCCTGATTTTTATATATATTTCTTATACACGGAACTGCACACTTTGTAAATAATACTTTCATTTATACATACCATTATGTTACTTCATTAGTGTAAATAACAGTGTCAAGAATAAAATCCCTAATTTCTACAATGACTGGATCAGTGTGTGTCATATCAGCTCCTATCCTTACCCTCCCCACAACAGTGATCTAGCTAACATCAAGCATTATAAAGGAATTCTCTGTTTCACCAAATAGAATCTGAGCACTTCTTGTTTGTCTTTTTCACTGAGAAAGTGCCAAATATTAGCCAGATTGTCCCCCTGTTGTTTGCTCAGCAGTTGCTAAGCAGGATTTCTAAAACCAGGGTGATTATTTTGGCTGAACCTTGACAAATGGTCAGAAAGTTTAAGGTCAAGGTGTTAATTATTGGCTTCATTTCAATTTTGAAAAAGTCAACGCAAAAGGATGTATTCTAAGAAAATGGGGAATGTGAATAC